AAACTTTGTCAAGCGTAACACTGAAACAGACACACGTTCTGCAAACTGACTGCTATTAAAGAATGAAACTAAGCTCAATACCATGTATGCATTTATTATGCTGGGCAGTCATTATCTTAGCAATGTGTTCATCGCATATTATTCAGTACTTGATATATCAATGAGATGATTAATAATAATAATAATAATCCTTGCATTTGGTATAGCGCTTTTCACGTCGGGAGGACGTCCCAAAGCGCTTCACAGAACACACTGTAAAGTGAATTGACTGTATATTTGTGGGCGAACGCGGCAGCCAATTGCGCACAGCAATGTCCCACAAACAGTCGTAGATTGAAAATGACCAATTTTTATTATTGTTTTGGGGTTTTTTTGGGGGAGGGATTATTATTAGGCTCTGTGTGGAGTAAGGAAACTTGCCCAAGGTTTCGCCCTCTGCTTGGAATTGAACTCAGGTCTCTCACTTGCAAAGCGAGTGCTCTAACCACTGAGCTACAGGACTCCGATTAAGAGTTCAACTGTATTTTTAGTTTACTCAAGACGACGATCAAGGCATAAGCTATGACAGTCCTTGTGAATGAGTTGGCATAGGACCTCCCAAAGTCAATTTAGATATCACAAAATACACCCAGATACATTCTTAAACCCTGAACCTTTCTTCCAATAGCAAACTAATGCATGATACACATGCACTCCAAATGCCTAGTTAACATTTTCTTACAAACTTCACAGAAATTAATCACATAACTAGTTACCTTCGACTAAAAAATAAATTACATTCAGCTACTCACATTGCACTTTATCCTACTGCTACTGATCTAGAATCACAGAACAATTAAGTAATCGAGTCATTTCAAGAAACTCTCCACAGTTCCGAAACAGCTTTCGGCAAAAATTTCTCGGAACAATTCCCTGCACATTATCACGTCTGGAGTCAGTTAAAGGTGCAGCTTTGCAACAAGAAATAAAAATAGGATGAGACCACAAAGAAGCAAACTTCAAAACAGGCTTAGATATCCTAATTGAAGAGTTTCTACCAAGCAATTCCATGAGATACACTTCCAACCAAGGGTTAAATCTAAGACTGTTTCCTTAGCAAACCTTTTACATTTGCAAAAGCACTCTCTCTTTCTCTCTCTCTCTCTCTCTCTCCCTCCAACAACTCCATTAATTCACATCTTCTGTGAAAGCTAAATGGGCACAATGAAAAAAAAATCTATGGCATATAACAAAGCCGACTACATCTACAAATTCCATCCATTTGGCAGGATCAATCATTGCATGATCTTCATTTAAAATACCTTAAAATAACAGAATCAGTCCTGAGAGGAGTTACTGTTACCATATTGGTGTTCCCTCACATTTGTGTATGAAAAATGTTAGCCCCTTCATAGACTCTCCTAACTCTCCGCTTACCATACTCTCAGCCATTGACGTTCAAATAAAGCACTCGTAGAATACACATCAAAGCTGCAGACTCCACATGCCTACAGTGACAAGTTGCATGACATGAAACATCAATTCTCAACATTGTCTCAGGATTGAACTGGAATTCATTGTGGGTTAAAGCACTTCATATCTTTAAATAAATATTTAGACAATACAATAAAGACAGACAGACATAAAAACATTTCATGATAAGAAAGTGAAGAGCAATCATTTTAAACAACAGGCTTTGCCACAGAATCCCTAGCATCCTACAAAGCGGAAAAAATAGAAAGAAATGTCAGCAATGCATTTATTTTGTGCAAATTTTTTAAACTTTCAATGCTTAAATACTAAACTCAAGTCTACAGTTTCTGACCTGGGGTTCCCTGTAGGACTTTGCTAGAATCAATATAACTAAGGCTATTTAAGCTTCAGGTCAATATCACCAGTTAGGCAACTGATCATTATTCCTTGCCCTCACCCCACCTGCCCCAGACAAAAAAAATAGGTTTGGTATGTCTTCATTTCTCAAACCCTGAGAAAAGTAGAGTGGAAGATCAAAGAGTGAAATGAAAGCCCCATGTTGAGGACATCTTAAAATTATAGAAACCTCCTCACTCTATTCCTTGCCCTGACATAACATGGGAGATAATACTGTGTCCTCTTTATAAACACACAACACACTTTATACATGAATCCCCATTCATCATGATACAGAGAGGAATTGCTTGCCACAATGTCACCAAGACATCAAGCATCATTGGGAGATGATGCGTTTTCACACAGTTCTCCTTCAATGGATGGCCATTGCTTACCCACAGGTTGAGCACTAACTTTATCAGATTCTTCCTAAAGTGGTGCATCCTCACAAACGAGGAAACTGAGAATTAAAACAACTCCTCACCTGGATACACTGCAGCTCAGAGCACCACAGATTCCGGTCAGAGTGATTCAACCGATTTAATCTGGAATTAATCTGGATTGACTGAGCACCTCATCTCTCTGACAGCTCAGATTCCACTCTTCTGCCTGGGCCCTTCCACACACCAGTTGCGTATCCCTCATTCCACACCACCACCATTGGTGGCCAAGCCTTTCAATCATTACATCCCTAATTAACTCACTGATTCCAACCAACCACTTCTCTATCCACCTTCAAATCCCACCTCTTCCACTATGCTTACGGTCACTTCTCCCTGTGAGCTCAGCATACAAGTCTGCCACTGTTCAGTGCTCTAAGACACAATCTTACATGAATGATGCTATGCAAACGCAAGTTTTGTGTTGTTGACCTTGGCTGGAAGTAAGTGGTTATTAAATGTTCTAAATTGCCCAAAGTGTGTGACATCTCAACCACGAACCGAGCCCAGCCAAATAATCAGAATTAGCAACACCCGAAAGCTTTTTTTGACTTCATAATAAAAATTCAAGACATTGTCGAAAGGGCAGGTTTGACTTTGGACTTGGTGATTTCCACCGGATCTTGGAATTGGTTTTTCAGATCTGCTGAAAGATGAGAACTCAAGATTGACAAATGGCGAAAAAATCTCCAACACTATCGCTCATGTGATAGTCAACGGGCTTCAGAAATGCTTAACCCAAGAAGTCCAACAATACACTGGATTCCTGGTTCTAAGTGTTGAAGAGTTAGTGTTTCAGATTTTCAGATTATGCAAACCACAATGTAAACTATTTTACAACATCTGATTTCAGCCCACAGGCTCACCTTACAAAACTGGAACCAAAATTTGAGCATTTATAAGAATTAGTTGCTGAAGCTCAATAATTGCAACTTTCTCTCTCTTCCCCCCCACACCCCACCAACCCAAACAATAAAGATTAATCGATTGAGCAGTCACAATCACATACGAGGTTAATGGAATGGCAAAATACATTGGACTTTTGCACAACAGTTAAACAGTGAGGCACTCCCAGACACTACCTTGCATGAAGCCCTCTATATAGATGCAAGTAGTTGTTGTTGTTGATAGTCCTACTGCACGATCACGTTCTCACCAGTCTAATAGATTTCTACTCCCGTGTATTACTGCGGATACAATGGAGGTGCACAGTTGTACCAGTAAGATGCTACTATTGGATGCACCCAACTGCGCACACATCTTTGATGGGTTCCCCAGTTTGACAAAAGGCACTGCAGATGGCTGGTAAAGGGATGCCAGAACAAAGCATTCAACAGAATCCTTCAGCACAGAAGGTGGTCAATTCATTGCTGTGCCAGCTCTCAATCAAAGGTACCTGTTTAGTCCCATTCCCTCCAATGTCTTTCCCACCCCCCCACCCATCCCACACCCCTTTTATATTCCTTCCAATCTAATAGTTTAGGTGTCAGTGCAGCAGTTTGGCAGCTTCAAAACTAAAGTCAGGTACTAATCTCACTGAGCTCACTGATCTGTGACCTCCGGTTCTTTCTTCCCCTTGAACCTTCTCGAAGACAGAGGCTCTGAGCACTGTGAAGCACTAATTGACAGGCTCTCAGCCGAATCATCAAGTCCTGCATGTGTTGTTCCCTTTCCTGAAGTTATAGAATTGTCTTTAAGCTCTGGTAGCGGGCAGAGCTGGTGCCCGGCTGTTTCGCAAGTGGTACATTTCCCGATAGCAGTGCACGTGGAACAGAGTTATTGAGAATCAATATTAATTCAATCATTCCCGTCACCATACAAAGCAACTCCGGTGACTTCTTCATTGCAAATTATTTTCTTCAACCTTTTCCCAGCTCCATACTGCTGTAATTCCTCAATGTACTGTACAAGGCCTTGGGGCAGTATCACCTACAAACAAACCCACCTGACCTTGTCTCACAAAGACGTATGGATTGAGAGGTTCAGCGTTTCCTGTGAACGAGTTTGCCCAGATCAGCAGGGTGTGAGTGCACCATTATTGGAGTGGCCCTGCTCACAAAGACTGTACAAGAACACTTGTGTTGTGTAAATAGTGGTTTGAAGATTGGAGTTAACAACCCCCGGACTGACACCATCAATTCCATTGCACACCAAGCAAATGAGCACAGCCCTCTGTAAATACAGGGTGCGGGTCAATATGGCTGCATCCATGTACTCACATGCCTGTTGACACACGATCTGCTCGCACCTGTTTCATATGGACTCAGACAGATACCCCAGCCACCATTAACAACTGGCCTGTAAGTTGCCTGTAAGCAGGTGGGAGCTGCAACTAGCCAGCTTCTAGTCATCAAAAAGTCACTCGTGCCATCCTCCTCAAACATCACAGCCCCGCAAAATATCTGGAGCAATTATCTTGCGACTTATTTGCAATGGGGGGGTTGCAAAAACGTACCCTGGATGGAACGGTCTCGCAGCAACTTGTCTTTTGTAGGATTTGCCCTGCGTCACTGGTGTTTTTAGAGGTTGAGTGTTAGCCGAGAATGCGAGTACAATATTCAAATCGAGCTCAAATAGATACGTCACGTGAAAAAAGGCTTCAGAGTAGACGTCTTCATCCCATTTTAAACATTCCCCAATTTTAACATTCGTAGTCTGACACTTCTTTGCTCCCCTCCCCTTTCCCCCTCTCCCCCGCCCCCCCCCCCACCAACCAAAATAAAAGAAGACTCCTTCATATAAATTGTACAATACTGAATTGGTTGGAAATCACGGGATCCGACGAGGTTCGCCCCTTCATTTCTGTGGAACGTAGGCTCTCCCCACCTCGTTCTACAAACTGCGTCCTCCCGTTTCGTTCTCACTTAGTCCACAAGTGAAGCTGGCTAAAAGGCAGGCGCTTGGTGCAAAGCTTCTGTTGTGCTCGATTCCCTCCGGAGGACCCCTGAACCAGGCTTCACCTTCAGCTCCTGCGGTGGTGGGGATTGTGGTGGTGGCTTGTCCACACCAAGTGTCTCTTTTGCATCCGGTTCGGTTTGGCCGGGCACCAGGGTGTTTGGCTTGACTGACGCCTGCTCGCTGGCTATCAGTGAAGGTCTACTTGCCTGAAAGATAAAAGGCAGCTGTTTTTAGAAACAAAACCTTACCTTTTGCAACCCTTTTTGTCACCTGCAGTCACGCAACTACCTACCCTGGAAAAAAAAGGAACAAAATGATGCTTACTATTATTAAAAATAATAATAATCCTTGTATTTGATATAGCGCCTTATCGCATCATTGAGACGTCACAAAGCGCTTCACCGAATATATTGTCAAGTGGAGTGACTGTATTTTGTGGGCAAAATCTACCACGATCAACTATTTACCTATCACTCAAACAATAATTAATTATAATTATACCCTAATTATAACTATGAATCTATCACCCAAACAAAATACCTTTATCGATTGTGAATAAATACACTTTGATTCTTTACTGATTTTACAAATTTTGCTTTTTATCTTTCAATAATGTTAATAATGGCTTCATCCCCCATTTTTACTATTTGCATTGCTAGAAAATGAAAAACCCAATGATATTAGTCAAAAAAGAAACATCGCTCAACTATTTTTTTTCTTCTTGAAGCTTCTCACTGCTTGTCCAGCCAGGACCACCCAACCTGCTAAAGCTTTGGCTTGCAGGGTTAACAGGAGCCAAACAAGGAAGAATCCCTGGTCCATTCTGACCCTCCAAGTCCTGTCGACGAGCCAGGCTGGCTTGTCTGTCGTCAGCAGTACCTTGGGAGTATTGCAGACTTATCTGGGTCAGGAATCGGACTACCGAGACCGCTACAGAGGGTTGACTTGATTCTGGCATCCCGTTGCCATGCATGTCACCTTGGAGCCAACTCAAGCTGCTTACCTCCCACCCACTGAGAATAGTCACAGCACCAAACTTCAACAATGTCATCCAATCCATTTTCAGGCAGCGAACTTGCTTCCTGCACTATTCTATTTTGCGCACAGATTGTCCTCTAGTGATGTGCTGTTCAGCATGTTCACTCTAGTTATCAGTTGAATCCAATCAACCCAGTGAACACACATACAGTCTCCTCAACACTGACCGAACCACAGAATCGTCACTTAATACACACATGTCTTACCGTAGATTGCATCGCTGTCTTTGTACTGCGGTTGCCTGTAACCGACACACCAGCATCGACCAGAATGAGCCCTCTTCTGTCAAGAACACTAAAGAGAAACAGAGCTTGAGTTGAGTTGTGATTTAACAGAGAGACGGGGAAGGGTGTGCATAAAAACCTTTTACATCTTCCCTTGGAGGTCATCTGTTTTCGTTACAAATCCTTTCACACCCTGGCTCCTCTCTACCCCTCCAACCTGCTCACTCCCCACTCCCCCACCCTCCCCTCCACTCAGCTGGCTCTGGCCTCCTGCGTGTTCCTCGTCCCCTCCGTTCCATCATCGGCAGCAATTCTTTCAGCCACTACACCTTGAAACTTTGGAACTTTCTCCCTCAATCCCTCCACCTTGTCCCCTTCTTCACCATTTTCAGATCACACCTGAAGACCTTCCTCTTCAACCGTGCCTTTGGTCACCTCTCCCCAGCTCAGAGTCAGGCTCCACCACTGTTAAGCGCTCCAAGATGCTAACCTGTGTGAAGGGCGCTATATAAATGCAAGTTGTTCTTGATATTGCTACCTATATCTCTGCTCCAGAAAGCAGGACAATATGGGCCACAGCAGTACTATTCTGTAGTTAGAAGGCAGAGGTGCAGTTTGCGCCAGGGGGAAAAGCGCACAATGGAATTTTTGGGAGCACAGAGTTCCCCACTTTACTTTCCCGTCCAGCTATTGCTGTAGGTGCTGATGTTTGCTGGTGTATGGTTCCTGACAGGCATCAGCCCACCTCCAATACTTCTCAAGTGGCCATTCTTCATATATTATTATTCCAATCTTCAAGCCTTGGCTCTTGCCAACTGCACCTTGTACTTTGCCCTCAACCACCCTTCTTGTTAATTACCATCTGGGAACAGAAACACTTTCCTGGTGTCTATCCTGAAATTGCTCTTTGCAACTCCATATGTCTTCTTGTTCTACCATCTTCGTGCATTTTAAAGTATTAATTCTGGGTATACTTTCTTTGATCCCATTTACATGTTATCCACCTCTATAAAGACCCCTCTAGAGTCATCTTCTCTCAAGACTGAAAACCATCAGACCTTTGAATATACTGTATATTTTGTGGGCAAAACGCGGCAGCCAATTGGGTACAGCAGTGTTCCACAAATAGTCAGTCGTGGATTGAAGTGACCAATTTATTANTTTTTTTAAGGAATTATTAACCCTGGAAAAACAAGTAGCCAATCGACTAACAACCAGATTCCTACTTAGTACTCGGTAAACAGAGGTGTGTGGAGTAAGGAAACTTGCCCAACATTTCGCCCGGCGGGGAATCGAACCTCAGTCTTTCACTTGCGAGGCGAGTGCTCTAACCACTGAGCCTCAGGACTCCACTGTTTTGCAAATTGTTATGCAAATTGTTGCAAATAGTCATGAAGATACGAATAGCAAGTATTGTCCAAATGAAGACAGCTTCCTTACCTTGGGGGCACTGGCCCACAGAGGATCTCACAGCAGTTTTTGATTACAGCCCCATGGCTGTAAGGGTTATGAATTCCGTTCTTCCCTGACCAGGAACCTTTAATCTGTGAAAGAGAAGACAGACCTTTTGCGATGCAGGCAAAATCCCGTTAAGCAAAAGCAACACATTCTCTGTTACACGCCTGTAAAACCCAAACTCAGCAAAATCACAGCAAACCCTTTGCCTAGATACATGTGGCTGCATCTGTGTGTCCATCAATTGTACCTCACATGAATGCAGTGAGGTTTAAGCCTCACTTACAGACAGCAAATCACAATCGATGGTATTAATGTTACAAATGCACTGATCATTACCCTAGGGCAGTTGCCAAGTTGAGATCAGGGGAAGGTATTCCACCTGGGTCTAGATGTATCTTATTTTCTCAGCATTTTAGAGCATTTGATCGCCAATAACATTAAAACAAACCAAAATAAACCTGCACTGCTCTGATCCTTGTTAAATCTGCCCTTATTAAAGTAGTCATTAAATTGCCTCTTGAATTTGTGAACCCAATCTACCTCTACTATCTCCCTATTAAACAGTCGGAGAATCTCCAAACCCTTGCATTGTGAGTAAATGTTAGCCCATCACATTGTACTTACATCTTCATTGGTGGTCTGGTTGAGGGCAATGAGATAGGTGTGAAATCCAGAGAGACCAATAACAGACCATAGCGTGAAGAAACAGATCACCACCTCCAGCACCGTGATGGAGGAGTTAAGGAACATTAATAAAGAACAAAAATGAACACTACAATGCAGTGATGCCAGTAAAACATTGATAAAACATTGACCTGACCACAATCCCCCAGATAAAATAGGTCACTCGCTTTATGGCAATTTGTGGGGCATTGCTGTGCAAAAGTGGCTGCCGTGCTTGTCTATAAATACATGGTCACCACACTAGATAGTAAATCTTGTGAAGCTTTTTGAGACTTTTCGATGACGTGATGAGGCACTTTATCAAATGTGAGGATTATTAATGCCTCAGGTACTGCATTATCATCTTTCAATGCCACAAATAACAACAATAATAGTCCTCACGTTTGACAGAGTGGTTTGCCAGTTAGGAGGATGTCTCAAAGAGCTTCACAGGATTACCTGTAAAGTGGAGTGACTTTTTGTAAGCAAACGCACCCTGTAAAGGAAATTACAAGTTGCCTTTAAAGAGTCCGCAATGTAAAAATGCCCACATGCATCCCGGCAGGGCGCAAGTGTTTAAAATGAGCTCCTGTCCTAATAAGTTTCACCATGAGCACGTTTCTCAGCAAGGATATGTTCCAGGAGTGTCTTTCAGTGTGCTCAAAAAGCCATTGTCCACCGACCCTGAGCGACGAAAAAAAAATAGAAAGAAAATACATTAACATTAAACACAGGCGTGAAGCAGGGGGCAAACCCGAAGGCGAAAAGAGCATGTTGTGATCCTGGTTTTTGTTTTGTCCATATTGATTACTTCTAAAATTAGATGTAAGCACTGATGAGATCTGGCTGGTTTGGTCTGTGTTTGAGGAACCAAATTAATCCACGTAGCTGACTGCCGCTAACACTGAACTCGGACGCTATGAATCATGTCCTCAGAATGGATGAAGTAATTTCAGTTCCCACTGGTTAAAATACCATATGTAGGAGGCTCATACAGTCTGGCAATAGTTGTGTCTGAGAAATCATCTGACAAAACACTTCCTACTTATCAACTGGAAGCACACTGCAGCAGGATGTTGCTCAGTCAAGATGGGCACATTCTAATTAGCTGCCTCAGACGCCAAAAGAAACTGACACGCATGTAACCGGGCTCTGAAAATCCTTTTGTTCTTAAGTCTTAAGACAGTTGCCTTAAAACGTCAGATGTTGTGGAGTTTGGGATAACAAAATTCAGAAGCTGATTTTTCACAGTTCTTCTTTGGAATTACGGACAAATCTGTCTCCAAATTAAGACAGACTTGAAGACTTGTTTTTGCAAAATTTCATACAATTCTGAACACTAGGAAAATGGTCATCAGTACAACAGGATTTGGGGATACAATACAACACAGGTTACACTTATATGGTGCCTTTCAGATCGGGGGTTGTCTCAAAGCACTTGCATTCTAGCCATCACTCAAAGGTTTAATTCCTGGACTCAACTGCTATCAATCTTTTCAACGATTAAGGAATCCACTAGCTTTAGAATAATAGAAATTTACAGCACAGAAGGAGACCATTCAACCCATAAAGACTACAACGGCTCGCAGAGGTGTTCATTCAATCCCATTGCCTTGCCTTATCCCCCATGCTATCTTTAACATACCTGTCTACTTCCCTCTTGAAACTCACAAATGGACTCTGTCTCTGCCACTTAACTTGGCAGATCTTTCCACTTATCAACATCTCTCAGAGTGAAAAATATTCACCTAAACTCTCCTTCCACACTTCTCTTGACTATATTATTACATGGTCCGTTTTCACCAACTCCCCCGTGTGCTCGGTTAATGACTTGCTGTTGGGACCCTACCCTATGGGAGGTATGCTATGTAAATGTATGTTGTTGTTGTTGTTGTTGTTGTTGGTTAACTTACTCAGTGCCACGTGGACAATATCAAAAGCAAAGATGTAGACGGTGAGGAAGGACAGTGACAAAGTGAAGAGGTAAAAGAATCGGTAATTTCTCTTCCCCACACAGTTTCCAACCCACGGGCAGTGATGGTCAAAGCGTTCTGGGGAATGAGAGAGAGAGAGAGGGTTGAGAGGGAGAGAGAGAGAAAAAAATATTGTTAATTTGTTTTAAAATCGAAATATTGAAACACTAAATCGCAATTATTGAATTCAATCTTAATTCGGAAGAAGATTATTTTTAGGAAACGTTTTCACGAATTTTTCCCAAATCTATACAAACTTACACTTTCAAGATGAAACGCTCTCACAGGCTTAAGAAGTGACTTTTCAGGCTACAAATCAATTGATAACAACAATAATAATCATTCGATTTAGTACTTTGTCACTTCATTGAGATGTCTCAATACACTATGCTCGCCCAGCACTGCTCTGGAATATCAGCCTAGACCTGGAGCTCAAAGCTCCAAAGTGGGGCTTGAACCCACAATCTTCTGAATCTAAATCATGCTGGCATCAATTTATCTACACTTTTGAGAAGTTTAATACGGTTAGAGAGGAGCTACTACTTTGTACATTTAAGCAATAGCGGAAACCTAGAACACAGAAACAGTCCTGATGTGAGTCACAAAGACTCCCACAGTTGATCCCAATTCACGTCAGTTCAATTCAATTCAGATTTATCATTCATGACCACAGGAATATACAGGACTAGGAAAGGCCACTGCAGTCTGGCTTGAAATAAACCACACAATACTCTCTTTCTCAGAACCCTCAAATGCTTCTTTCACCAAAGTATGAACATGAGTTAAACAGGTTCAGAAGAGAACAAAGATGGCACTCACCAACACAGTTATCGCAGACGCTACAGTGGGATGCCCGGGGTGGACGAAATATCTTGCACGTGTAGCAGTATTTCAGTTTGATGATCTGATTGTTGATCTGAATGTCTTTGATTCGCGGCGGTGGCCTCTGGCCTGCTGGCACATTCCCATTGGCTGCCTCTGTGTATGTGTGTATGAGAGAGTGTGTGTGTGTGTATACGTGAATGAGTTAGAAAGTATTTGTGTGTGTGTGTGTGTGTGTGTGTGAATAAGTTAGTGTGTGCGTGTGAGTCCGTGTGTGTGTGGTGTATGTGTGTGTGTGCGTGCGTGCGTGTTGGAGAGGGGAGAAAGGGAGAGAAACGGAAAGGCACAACATCAACATCATGTCTCAGTAAGTCACGGTAGTGAGAAAAGGAGCAGCTTTCAATGCCACAAGTAACAAAAAGCGAAAATGGGCGTGTAATAAAGAGAACAAGATGCAAGTAGGTAAACCGGGTCTCTTCAGCCCTGAGTAGAGATGGCTCTGTGTCACAGAGGAGCTTATTGAGGTCTATAACATGCTAAATGGCTTTGAGATAGTAAAAGTCAGAACAATATTTCATCCGGGCAGCAGGACATGGATGTGAAGGGCAATTTTAACAATAACAACCTGCATTTATATCATGTTCTTCACACGGAGTTGAGTCTCAGAGCGCTTAACAGTAGCGGAGCCAAGGAGAGAGGGGAGGTGACTCAGGCAGATCAAAGAGCAAAGTCCTCAGGGGAGGTATTTGACGACGGTTCCATCACTCTATTAATGCAGTATTTCAGACCATGCAGGAGTTGGCAAATTGTCGAATTCAGTCATAATCTTGAAGACATTTCCCGGCAATTCTTAAAAGAAATTCGTAACAAAACGGTCTCAAACTACATACGGATGTATGTAAGGATGTAAGGATCAGAACACTCTGAAATCCTACAAAATCCTCCAAATTCAGAACACTCTGAAATCCTACAAAAATGGAGTGGATGGAACTCGTCTGGAATCTGGTACCGAATGATTTAACCAAAGCGGGAGCTTTTATTTCTGATTCGATGTTCAGTCTCTGCGACAGTTTTTTTAAAAAAAACACATCTATAATTAACTGGATTATTGCTGCTTCATGTTGACATTCTGGGTCTGTGACTGTGAGTCACCAGCAAAGCAGCCGAACAACCCAGAGTCATTGGAGGGAGGGATCAGTAATTCCACATGCCTCGTGCACAATGCAAGGTCATTAGCTGATATAGACTCGCCTGCACCACGCTCCAGTGGATGAGAAAAAAATGAACTTAGACATTTTCGAAAAGGGCTCCTTTCTTTTATGTAAAAAAACAAAACACTACATAAGTCACTGCCATCAGCGAGAGCTTTATTTATCACCACCGATTTCAACCCAGGAAGAGTGAGCATGGATAGAGTGTGGTGAGGGGAGTCGGGTTGAGGGGGGTGTGGAGGCAGAGGGAGTGATGGGGGAAGGGGAGAGAGAAAGGGAGAGGGGGAAGAGGAGAAGGGGAGATGAGTAGTGCTGGGAGGGAAGGAGGGAGGAAGGGAGGGAGGACGAGTGGAAAGGAGGGAGCAAGTGAGAGAGAGGGAGCGAGTGGGAAGGAGGGAGAGCGAGTGAGAGGGCGGGAGTGAGTGAGAGGGAGGGATGGAGGGTGAGGGAGGAAGGATGGGAGAAGGAAAAATATTTTGAAAATAATCTCAATCATAACGAAGGAGGGGGTTAGGGTGGGAAAGCGAGTCTGATGTTTACGAGTGAACGAGAAACCAAGCGGAAAGTGGAAAAGAGAAAGAGCAGGAAAAAATAAGAGCGAAAAACATCAGCAGAAAAAGCTTTAGATCAAATGCCTCCTCATGTCTGCGGAGCACAGACTCAGGTGTTCACTCTGACCCCTGACTGGGACAATCAGTTCTCATCAGTCAAGCAGAATTGACCAGTGTTCGAGGAGGGGTTTACTGTAACCTGTATTCGCAATTCCAAACCCTAACAATGTCTCTTTTTCATCTGTATTGACAAAGCTGTGCCCTTTTTATGATTTAAAAAAAATCTTTTAATGTCAAATCCTTATCCTGGCTTCTAAAACCCTCCACGGCCTTCCTCCTCCCTACATCTACGACCTATTAACACCATGCAAACCTGTCCGCTCCCTCCGCTCAGTGGCTTGCTTCACGTCCCTTGCCCTGTCCTCCCCACTATCAGCAGTCAAGACCTTCAGCCTTACAGTCCCCATCCTCTGGAATTCCAACCTGGAATCCCTCCGCATCACCCCTTCCCTCGCCTGCCTCAAGACCTTTCAACCACCCTCCCAGCTACCCTCCATCCTTCTTGATTCCAACCCCCAGCCTGGGTGCAAACCCTCAACTGTCCAGTGCCTTGGGACATCCTTCCGCCATGAAAGGCGCTGTATGAATGCGATTTGATGTTGTTGTACAATTTCCAAAACTTTAAAAATCACTTAAATTCACAAAATCCTGGGCACACGTGAGGGAGAAGAGAATAGAGAGGTTTTTGTGTGGCGTATAAACACAGGTGCATTCTAGTTGAACCAAACGGCCCATTTCCCTGCTTTGTTGCTCCACGTAACGTTATGTAACCTTACCCACCAACCAACCACATTTCTTGCCTTGAAAAAACTGACCTCACTCTCTTCTCTCACTGAATCTGTCTGTACTGGAAATCACCAAATCTTGTTCGCCATATTTTTCAAAGAGATTCAGTAAAATCCGAGATGTGGGTGGGGGGGGGGGTCCCAAAATAATCTTTGTAAACATGTTTCAAGTCCGGTCTCACAGCTAAAATGCTGACTTTAGATAGAAGTAGAATCTTTGGACAGGACAATGAGAGCACTTGTACTCGTACAAAGCCTTGCAAGCAGGAAAAGATCTGGTAGAGCTTTACAGAGACGGTGAAGATCTGGGAACATAATGGCAAGAGTTGGGTTAAATGATCCAGCACAGATATGATGGGCCGAATGGCCTTCTTCTGAGCTGTAAATTTCTAGGGCTCCATGGTCTAAGGGGCAGGAAAGGATAAAAGGATTTTGATCTCGGTGAATGTATTAATCTACTAAAAGCCACTGGTGTTCTATCTAAATGCTCTCCCTGATGGAATATGGGTGAGTGGAAGAGAAAGATAGCTGCATTAAGACCTAATTGCCAATACACGGGTGAGGAGACAATCTGGACGGAATTGTTTCCAGTTCTAAAGCATATAAAGAATGGCAGCTTATTAAATATTAAAAGCACACAACCATACTAAGCTGCTCTGCCTGCAATTAAAATTACTGATTCAACCATACTGTTCACATTTGAGAACAGAAGAACGGCTACACTCACACACCATCACCTCCAATACCTCCTCCTGTACAGTCTCTGGAGGTGGGGGTGGCGGAACAGGCTTGAGGGGTTGAATGGCCTACTCCTGTTCCTATGTTCGTATTCAACATTGTAATGAAAATAATAATAATCCTTGCATTTGATATAGCGCCTTATACAATACAATACAATACAATACAAAATTACATTTGTATAGCGCCTTTCACATCGGGAATGTCCCAAGGCGCTTATCACATCATTGAGACATCTCAATGCGCTTCACAGAATATATTATAAAGTGAATTGACTGTATATTTTGTGGGTGAAACACAGTAGCCAATTCCGCACAGCAGTGCCCCACAAACAGGCATGGATTGAATGACTAAATTATTTATTATTGATTTATTTATTATTTTTCGAGGGACTTTTACCCCCGGATACCAATCTGACAATCACCGAACAAGCGGGTTCCTACTTACTGCTAGGTAAATAGAGGCACGTGGAATAAAGAAACTTGCCTAAGGTTTCGCCCGGGAATTGAACCCACTGCATGCGAGGCAAGTGCTAACCTATACGCTACGGGGTTCCAAGAAAAGCAGTGATGAGAGAGAGGGCAGCAGAACAAGAAACTTCAGTCTATTCTGATTAGGATCAGATCCCTCAGTGACTGTGGAACTTGACCACCGCGGTGAATTAATCCAATCAGTGGTTATTCCACTTGATTCAATTATGTTTTGTAAAATACCAATTTATCCTGATTAAAAAAAATCCCACAGCAGATACTTGCATGCAATTGAAAATGATAATGTAACTCTTCCATTACGACTGTTTCATGCTGACTTAAGCTACATCATTCAACGTCAGCATGGCAAAGCTCTTCAAGACACTACCCTCCATGAAAGGCGCTATGTAAATGTGAGTATATAAATGTGAGTTGTTGTTGTTGTTGTGTTAGCAACACTGCACCTACATAATAATAATCTTTGCATTTGTTTCAGTGCCTTTCACATCAGGAGGCTGTCCCAAAGCGATTCACGGAATTTTCTGTGAAGTGGAGCAACTGTGTGCAGGCAAACACGGTAGCCAATTTGAGCACAACAATGTCCCACAAAAAGCCATGAAGTGAGTGACCATTCTTTTTATTTGAGGGATTGTTGGCCAGGACACCAGGAGAGAGAAACTCCCTTCCCTTTTTCATATAGTGCCATGGGATCTTTAATATCCACCTGAGCAGGCAGATGGGATCTCGGTTTAACAGCAACTCTGACAATAAGACATCCCCGGCACCGCATCGGAGTGTCATCTTGGACAGTGTGAGTCTGAGTCCCCATGTGGGGCTCGAACCCACAACCTTCTGACTCAGAGACGAGAGTGCTATCACTGAGCCAGGCTGACACTTTGAACCAGATGGAACCAATTTGAGAATAAATCCCAAAACACAACGTTCTAAAAGCTTGCTCACTGTCAACCATAGATTTTAACTGGATCAGACATGCTTTCCTTACACTAGTTATAAACATTAAAGCACTCAGCTCTCTCAGACGCGGACAGTTACACTCCTGTGATCACACACAGATTGTTGCCAGTTCCCAAGAGGGTTTGGCTGCTTTATCTCCTGCATCTATTTTCTGGGGCTTGTAGTTGTAATGGTAAAATAAACTTTTACAGCATGAAGCTTTTACAATTTTATGAAGATTGAATGGTACATTCCTCAGAACATTAACATAAGGTCATTTTGCCTACCAGACCTAAGCTTTGCTGTTTCACACTGGATTACACACTATTTCTTGCCTAGCGGCAAATCCACTTATACCCAAACCATTTTATCATGCGGACTTCAACAAAGCCATATCCAGGAAGCACGGGTATTATAATTATTATGATAATAATCCTTACATTAGATATAGCTTCTCATAACGACATCAAGACATCTTAAAACGCTTCACAGGATTTACTGTAAAGCGTCCTAGTAAAACACTGCAATCTATTGTGTGCCATGTGTAAACAGCACGTAATAGATCTGACTTGCTCCCTCCCTCCCATCTTTAATAATAATCCTTGCATTTGATATAGCACTTTTCACGTCGGAAGGACGTCCCAAAGCGCTTCACAGAACACACTGTAAAGTGAATTGACTGTAAATTTGTGGGCGAACGCGGCAGCCAATTGCGCACAGCAATGTCCCACAAACAGTCGGCACGCCTCAAAACATACCGCTTTGTCTGCTCTTTCGATCATCTCTTCCCTTTCCCCTCCTCAGCTCCCACTCGCAGAATTGGAATGCGCATTGGGACGTCCTCCCATATGAAAGGCGCTATATAAATGTATATTGCATTGTATTGTAAAAGTGTGTTTATTATTATGCACCATATGGCACAAGGCAGTGTACAAAAATAATTATAGATGTCATTAATTGTGTAATTTACCAAGTAACAAATAGGATTCATTTATCGATTCATTATTTAATTAAATGCCAATCCTTTGCATTAGTTCTTAATCACATAATTCAGGCCACCTGTAATTCCCGCTGTACACAAGGATTCACGAAACATTACCATGTATTTGGGTCAGAGGAAAGCTTCTGTGAATTTCCAAAAGTTCTGATTCCAATTGCAGAAGGTCCCCCCCAAAAAAGGAATACCGAGTGAAAAAAGTGGGGTGTTTAATGCGTCTGTTTTCCTACCTATTTCCATCTCTACGAAGGCAGCCTCGTCTGCTTCGGCTCGCGGGAGGACACCGGGGTCACTGAAGCTGGTTCGCAGCAGCATGCCCATCACAAAGAGGAAGAGGACGATAGCGAAGACTGGGATTACGGGCGAGAGATGGATCGCCAAGTACGGACACCTGTAGAGAGCAAGATAACATGAGGGGCCAGGAGTTAGAAAGGAAAGGTCATTCATTCATTTCGGCCAGTGCTGGCCAACCTTTATGGTCGGCCAACAAAGCAAATGTTCTTGATTCGATATTTCTCGATTGATGCCGTAAATCAAGAAGGATCCCAACAAGAAAAAATTGAAAACACACTACAAATTGAACATGGTCTTGTGCGAATGTTCTGAGAGGGGGCGGGCAGGCTGTGTCCCCCTGTGTCTTGTGACTGACATCCAGTATATAGGTTACACTCTGTGCTCAGATCTATTTTAAGAACACCCTCTGTTATAAGTCTTATTACTATACCACCGTAAAGATTAGAATGGATTTCAAAGCATGTGCAAGCCAATACTCTTGAGATCCTTGCAATTGGCACGCAACTGCATCATCCAGTGTGCAATCAGTGATCTATGTCACTTCAAGTAAACGCTCTGCTTCCTCATTCTTTGCCTAATAATAATCCCTCCATAATAAAAATAGCAATAATAAATTGGTCATTTTCAATCCACGACTGTTTGTGGGACACTGCTGTGCACAATTGGCTGCCACATTTCGTTCATAAATATACAGTCAATTCACTTTACAGCATATTCTGTGAAGCGCTTTGAGATGTCTAGAAGACCTGATATCAAATGCAAGGATTATTATTATTGTTAAAGTTCTTCTGTTAAGAAGACCAGGTGGCATTTTGAGCTGTAGAAGACTGACTAGCTCAGAATCTCACATCAGATAGGAAGGAACATTTGTTCCAGTGTTTTAGGAGAGAACATATCCCATATTGTGAAGTCTATCAGGCTATAAGAAACATGTTGAAGGCTATTTGCAAATCATTCGCTGGAAGTGTTTAATTATCTTCACTCTCTCCTCTCTTTTAAAATCTGAATCATTGTGTGAAGATATGAAATTTATTTTTTCTTATAATTTGACACACACACAGGATGGAAAGGTGCTACACAAATGTAATTTGGTGATGTTGTTCTATATTAATATAATCCTTGCATTAGACATAGCACCTTATCGTGTCTTGAGACATTTCAAAGGGCTTCAATAAAATATACTGTAAAGTGAATTTTGTGGGCAAAACACAGCAGCCAATTGCGCACAGCAGTGTCTCACAAACAGATGTTACTCGCCCCCCCAACAGAAAGCGATTTGCCAATTGACTAATCAGATTCCTACTTACTGCTAGGTAAACAGAGGTGTGTGGAATAAGGAAACTTGCCTAACGTTTTGCCCTGCCAGGAATCGAACCAGGGGTTTGGATTACATCTGCTCTAAGAAACTTTAAATTATCTGATGCAATAACAATGGGCGAAAAATGCGTGTCGTACATCTGTTCCGAGACTTAAGATTGGTATTTTTCAGACGCATATCGGTTTGAAGAGGACATTCAAGGTAAGTCACAAGCTTTGCCTTGAAACCTCGGTGACAGATAATGAAGATTCCGTGGTCTCAGTTCCAGCAACAAGCACGGAGGGCTCTGCAAACCCAAAATTGCAACACCACTGGCGATCGAGCACAGCTAAACCTCTCATTCTCACACTCATTAAAACTGGGAAAGTTCAATTTGGATCAAATTTGGATCTTCTGATACAAAACGGCTGGAATCTGGGGAATAATAACCGGTCAGAAGAAAAGTGGGTGATGCAGAATCCATAAAAGCCTTTAAAAGGGAATCAAACATTGTATCAAGAGACACATCAAAGAGTGTGACGAAAGGAAGGGAAAATAGGACTAAATGGAATTCACTTTCAAGCAACTGACACAGACGTGATGGGCTGAATGCAATGCAAATTTACATTTATATAGGACCTTTCACAAAGTAGGAAGAGTTAATAGCATGGCTGGGTACCAGAGAGAAGGGATGCGCAGTCAAAGTAGTCGATCTTCAGATGGATCTTGGATGGGGAATGGCCTCCCTCTGTGCTATAAATTCTATCATTCTATGAAGATCAGAATTTTTTTGAAGTGTCTTCATTAATCATTTGCAGGGAATGGAAGGAGAATGCTTAGTTTCACTGGCTTAACGTATACTTGACAATTCAGTTTAAAAAATATCAATTGAAGAAGAAAAAAAATGAGGAATAATTTGCGGTATTTCTTAGCTTCCGATCCAGAGACAAAGCCTGGGTTTTCATGAAGTGATCACAATGTCTGGAAGGAAACCCCATTTATAGATCCAGGATTCTTCATTTTAGGAATATCATTCAGAAATACCCCAAATTAGACCTCTGAGTTCCTGGACCACAGCCAATACACAATGTAGTATAATGCAATGCTTGTGGGAGGGAGGTACTTCATTGAAACAACCCTCAGCAGCCTCTGCAGTTTTACAAATGAAACTTGTGGGAGAGGCAAGGGAAGGACCGGTTCACTGGCAGTGAGAATTAGGCCAAAGCCCAGAGAGATGCAGCTTACATCACGGTATGGAAATAAACAGCATGGAATGCTGTCCATCAAGTTGAACTGCATCGCGTGCAGGAACTGTACCCAGGGAACCTAAGTAGATTTGCAAAGGCATGGCTTTTTAGATAAACTGTGATTAAAAATCAATGGTCGGTTAACTCTTACAACTGAACATAGCTTAACATTGTGGTTTGAAACCAACACTTCCTCAAAGCAAAGAAGACGGGTGGGTCATTTCCAGTAGGATCCAAAATGTTGGACGACCTTTGTAGGCATGGTCTTTCTCGTCTTTTGAAAGTGATTCAACCAGCACGTCCAACAGAAAATTGCTGTCACTTTATTGAACAGGGAAAGAGGAGCAAAATGATGTAAAACTCTCATTTCAAGCTAACTAAAGATTGATTGTTCACTTCACGGACATTTGTGGCAATTTGGATGCTGAGTCTACTTACAAATACAATCACTACACTCCTTGCATGTAATATAACGCCTTATCACATTGTTGAAACGTCTCAAAGCGCTTCACAGGATATACTGTAAAGTGTAGTGACTGCGTATCTCTACATGAATATAACAGCCAATTTGCCCACAGCAGTGTCCCACAAGCAGCCATGAAGTGAATCTCCTATTTCATCTGAGGAATTGTTGGCCAGGACACTGGGAGAAATCCCATTCTCTTTTCAAATAGTGGGATGGGATGTTTAAAGTGCACCTGATCTAGCAGACAGGACCTCGGTTTAACAACTCATTAAAAAAAACACCACCTCCGACAAGTCCGTGAGATCAAATATAATAATCCTTGCATTTGATATGGAACCTTATTTTTTTTGAGGGATTATTACCCCCGGAAGACAATACCCCGATCGACTAACAACCGGGTTCCTACTTACTGCGAGGTAAACAGGCATGAAACAAATGTGAAAAAAAATGAAACAAAGCAACTCTTTGCAGATGGCTCTCCAGGTTCACTTTCAATCATTAGCAGCCAAGTTATTTTTATACGGGTGATACTGAATTCAGTTATAGTACATACAGCAGGCTCATTAGGATTGAATGCGCAACACAATTACAAGCAAACTCACAATTTGAAATTTACAGCAAGGCTTGGTGGACAAGATGTAAATGAGAAGGATTCACACACATGGAGCTGAGGGTTATAAAATGGCAAATGCTGGTTATCAAATTTCCAATGTCAAATTGGGAGGAAAAATATACATACAAACATTTGTACACGCACACACACACAAACACACTGCAGTTTTATAAGCAGTTCTACCTTTAACGCTGCTTTTAGCACACGGTACTGTTCTCATTTCCTTTTTCTCCTCCAGTGGGAGTAGGCTGCCTGCAGGCAAATGATCTGTGCGAGTGATGAACGTCACTGAATTACTGCATAGCACCAACGATGATGGCTGCATCATGCCCCAAGAGGGGTGAATTTCCAGTCATCAGTGAGTCTGCGCAACCTTTATGTTTAGAATGTGACTTCGCACTGTGAACTCCCCCCACACCCCCACCACTCACCACCACCGTGTCCATTCATTTATCAACAGACAGAGAATCGGCCATAGGGAATGTGGAGTATCATCAATTTGTGGGGTTCACTATGACTGATCCTTCTGTTTACCCACCCCTATCTGTCCTCCACATGTGTGTCAGCTTGGCTGAGTGATAACACTCTCGCCTCTGAGTCAGAAGATTGTGGGTTCAAATCCCACATTGGGACTTGAACTGACATAATCTAAGCTGACACCCCAATGCAGTGCTAGGTGGGTGGGTGTCGGATGAGACATGCCTGTTCAGGTAGACAACAACTGCCTTACAGGCTAAGATAAGGTGGAAAATTGTACCAAGAACATTTTACTAAGGCAACGTTCACAGGAGAGCGATCCATGTGAAATGGTGGCAGGAATTGAAAGGTGAATACTCAAGAGTCAGGCACCCAATACAATTATTTACAATTCTAAATTATAATTACACAACAAATTTACAAGTAATTTTTTTAATTATCTATTTATTTGAAATAACAACAGGTAAGCCAACAGCCATTAATCATCTGCATCTCTCACTGTGCCAGTGTTATGACAGATATTTATTAACACATCATTTTGTTTTAGCGCTTAAACATTCCAATTATAATAATTCCTTGGCATTTTGCAGAGTGAAAACCTCAAAAAGCTTCACGTAGTTTTCTGCAAAGTATTGTGCCCATGCATTAGAAAGCAAAGTGCTGCAGCCAATTTGCACATAGCAATGTTCCACAAACAGTCGTGAAGTGAACAGCCTTGTGTTATCTGGAGCAACCCTGTGTGAGGGGCACTATTCAAATGCAAGTTGTATTGTTGTTACTTGTTTTTTTTTAATTGAAACAGCCAAACTGTGAGAAGCAGTTTGGATATTTGGTTTAACGTTAGTCAAATCATCTCAATGATATAAGTTCTGATTTTACGGTAAATGTAAAATTAAAATACCTTTTTTAAAAAAAAGTAAGGCAGAGAAGGAACCTTATCAAAGTGCTCAAGATTGTGAAAGGTTTTGGGAGGATGAACAGTGACATTATTTCCACT